TGTTTTTTAATGAATTACATTGATATACAGGCTGTGGTAAACAGAACACTATTCTTAATAATTATACAAAAGAATTAAACATGCAGATGTTTTAAATGAGCCCTGGGGTAACTAAGAGTTTTAAATTTGTGGAAAAAGATAACATAATTTATACATTTTTTTAGTGTCTCATATTTCTTTGAGACAGAATGCCAATATTTTACATGCCATTGTAACTGTGTCGTTTTATTTGTAGTATCTGGCATGTGACATTTAAAAATTAAATTACTTACTTATTTACCTACTTGTTTAATTAGAATTTTAAGCCTGATTACTGTTCGTTTTCTTCACATTTCATTTCACATAAAGTGATCTAAAAATCTTCATGAGTGGGGTAGGGGTGTTTTGTAAAAGCTAATTCATATATTTTTTTAACCATTGCAGTCTTAATTGAATTAAATCATTGTCAGGAACATTATTTTAGTTTTAATTATAGTTTTGTGGATTTTTTTTCATTATAGCGTCTTTGCGTAGGACAAATTATATCTTACAAAGAATATATATATATATATATATATATATATATATATATATATATATATATATATATATATATATATATATATATATATATATATATGTATATATATATATATATATATATATATATATATATATATATATATATATATATATATATATATATATATATATATATATATATAAATGAAAATGACAATTGTACACTCATGAAAAATGAATTAAGAAATATACTGAAAATAAGAAGATATTGGGGTATTTCCATTGTATTAATTCATTAAATATGATAATTATTTTGTTTTATCTCTTAAAATTCCAGCAGATTACAAATTGTATCTAGAGTGAAATACAGCCAGGATTGATTTGAACGCACATGTTAGATTTAATGATTGTCTCTACTTCTTCTTTCAAGTTACACTAAATAAAACACACCCATCATGTGCTCCTTGTCATGATCAGGAAAAACGGAAAAATCTGAAGACGATCCGTTGTGTAAATAATGGCCTAACAATTGGTATGAAAAACGTCAGTCAGCATTTGACTTAACGATAGATTTTAATCGCTGACAGGTCATTGTATCGACCATAAAACTTGCGAAATGATGACTTAAATTCACACGATTCCCTTGACTCATCAAATTGTTTGTCAATAGCGTGCCTCGCATTAGAAATTATTCATACGTAGAGCATGCTCTTGCGTATCGAATCAACTGGGAGATATAAACTTCATATGCAGGTGATCAGGGTATATTGCTACATAAGTAAGAAAGTTAACGGTTGAAAAATTGAATTTATCACGTTTATCATAAAGCTTTGTTGTTATGTTATCATTAACGTCTATTTTTAGTTAAATATCCAAATTTGAAACAGATATGTCAGAGTATGTGGTATCTTTTATTTCAAACTCAATGGGATATATCGAGTCGACATATGAATTTAAAGTTTTCCAAGCTCAAAAGTCCATTAAACAATACAAAATAGGAGCAGAGCAAACACGGACCTCCAAACATCAGAGGTGGGATCAGGTGCCATGGAGGAGTGAGCATCCCCTGCGACCGGTCACACCCGCCGTGTGCTCCTTGTCATGTATAGATTTTTTAAAATTGACTTTTATTACTTAAAAAAGAGGGAGATAACTCTTCAACAAATGTCAAGGTCATTAATTAGGACACGTTCCATTCTTACATGCTAATTGTTATAAATGGGAATTATGACTAAATATACTGAGTATTCCACCTTAACACATCTGTTATGTATTCAAATTTATTGACTCTGAGGCTATTAGGAATTGAATACCTCAAGTAACTACTGTTAATTGACAATACGTCATCGATGTATCTCAATGTCGAGTTGAAGGCCACAGCAAGTGTTTTCTTCTTCTTAAGATAGAAGTGTTTGAATAAATTCTGCTTCATTCCTTTTTACGGATCGTGTTCAGTTTTAATGTGTCAATCTTAATGCAAAATTTCAAGTGTTGAGATACATGTAGATATATGTAGGACCCCCAAGGCAAAATGAAGCACTTAATAATTAATCCTTTTGTGAAATGAATTACACAGCATTTTGAAAAAAAAAAAAAAAAAAAAAAAAAAAAAAAAAAAAAACACTTGTTGAAAGCTCTTTTATTTTATGAAAGTGACTTGTATAATTTTGTTTGCAACAGAGGGAGTGTTGATTTATTTAACGAAATTTGTATTTATATGTCAAAAATATCCACATTCATTAACCTCTCCAACTTCCAACGATGAAAATATCAAACCGGATTGGAGGTTCATCTCACACGTAGTTTTACGGCTTAAATCAGTGAATTATTTAGCGTTAACTCCCACACAGACAACAGTCTCAGTTTTCACTATTGTAACTATTTAAATTGCAATTCATTCATTTTGGACTGGAGAGACTTTTTGTAGCCTATTGATTTTGGAGATACCTGTCTTTGCACAAGTCCTATTTTGATGTTTTTACTCTCCGTCTACCATTAATATTATTTTTAAATCTTGCTATATCTGTATTTGTGTATCTAATCAATCTTTTTTAATAATTTGTACTTTGCATTTTGTATTTCTTACTTGTATCCAATCTCTATTTGCATCCTTTAATTTGTATTTGTATATGAATTTGATCTTTTAATCATTACATCAGCTAGTTTGTAGCCTATATAAACTTTCTATTTAAAAGTTTAAAAATTTAATGGTTCTCTATTAACATTATTATTAATTATTTGTAAATCAAGTAAGTTTTTCTTTGCATCCAGTTTTGTAACTTGCATTTCATCTTTATAATTGCATTTAATCCTATAATTTATTAATTGAATTTTATCTTTATTTAAATCTTATTATTTGTAAATAATATCAAATCTCTATTCTTATCATAATATGTATCTTGTATGAATGAAATAGGTGAAGATAACGAACAGTGATCGATCTCATAAAACCTGCAAACAATACAAATCTGTGAACAGGCATAAAACATGGACTGCTGAAAATTCCATGGGTGGGATCAGGTGCCTAGGAGGAGTAGGCATCCCCTGTCGACTGCGGGTCCACAACCGCCGTAAGACCTTTATATGACCTGATCTGCAGTCAAATCAAGCATAAAAAATAGGCCCATCAAAGAACGACTCAATGATAGGTTATATTTGCTAACAAGATCATTATAACCGTTGTCAAATCGGGGCCAGTGCTCATCTGTCATTTTATTTAGATCTCACGTACTAAGAAATTGATATTTGAAATTTTAGTACGAAGATTATTTTCTTTGATTGTCTTGTTTATTGCATTATGCATATATGCGTATAGTCTTAATCATAGATGCTAACTGCTCTTCTTAAAAACACTTACAAAATGATTTACACGCAGTGGCTCGGTTGGGGTCGTTTCAAAGATCATCATGAACATGATCTTCTCAACTGGTGGATGATTGACCCCACCTTTGCCAAGGTTAGAAGATTTAAGACAAAAATTACATTGTATACTCTCTGTATTTACCTGTTAAATTTTTGTTTTGATTTTGTATGAAGAAAACTGTATATACATGTTTTTACAATAGTTTTTTGGCAAACAGTAGTTCATATAGAGTTTGTGTTCTGTTATTATTATACATGTATGTAAGAAATATTTTATATGTGTAAAGAACAATTGTCCATATTTGTTGGAAACCTTTGATGCTTATATTAACTACATTTTTGTTGATTGATCAAAATCTTTATTTTGATCAATAAAATACAACTTCAATATACACATGTGTTTTGTCCCTTTTTCATAGCAGTTGGGAAAAGAGGAGGCATAAAAATCTATATACATGCCCTTATTTTAATGATGTTTAGACTCTATGTAAACAACAAGTCTCTTTTTAACAAGAGGCATAAGAGCCTTAACGGTACAACATTGTAAAGGGTCCATAGAATTATACACTAAAACAATAATAAACTTATGGATAAAGCTGTTTTGCCCAAAAGCAGGATGACCGGGATCAACAAAAGAGTTAGTCTAGTGATCGTTAACAAATCTCAAAATAGATTTATTTATTTGCCTGTACGTACCCTCATTTGGCAATATTCTGACTAAACAGATAGTGCTTGACCAATCTCATTCCCTTTCACATAGGCCTTTCTTGCTCTTTGAATTGCATTTAATGTACATAGATTAGGTATTTTTGTCTTTTTATTAATCTATTATTTACAACTCTATATGCTCATTACAATCTCTGCAAATACTTTTTTGCATTGTATATTATAAAAAAAATCTTGTTGAATTACCTAGATATTATCTAGAATTCCTGTATAATTTTCTTCTTCAATTGACCTTTCAGTTGACCTAAAAATGTTAGCTGTGTAAAAATTTGTGCAAGATATACTCACATAAGAAAATATTCATACAGACTTCTTAATTAATTGTACCCTAAGTCTATATAAATCGATACTGAAAAGCTTACATTTCCAATGGTTTTATCGAGAGGTCCAAAAAATATTCGATATTGAACCGCTCGATGATATGTTGGACCGATTGCTGAGATTGGACAACTATTACGGTTTTAACGTCAAACTTAATTTGATTGACAGTTACGGAATTGACCGATTTAGACTGGGATTGTGGGTGAATGAAATTTACATAAAACTTTGTCATCTCAATGCAAATAAGGTCAAACTAGCAAAAATAATTGTATTAGAAAAGAATTTAAAAGTTTGGTTTGCGTGGGTCCTACAAAATGCATATTGCCCTCGAACCCAGCTCATAAATGTATTTTTTTTATATTGCAGTTTCTATACATGGCTGTAAATCAAGCACTTCCCGATTGCAGTAATTTGATTTTACATTTATTTATCCCTTCATTATTTTAATTTGAGAAAATATTGATATCTGTGTAAGCACGCAATTCTTTAGTATACAATATCTAGGTGTTTATCAGGTAAATTTGTATACATTATAGCAATTATTCTAGCTAACAAGGACATCATTTTTTTTCTTAAGCCATTTAATGCAGAAAAAATAAAACTTCCAAATTAATATTTTTGAAAACAAAGTTAAATATGAAACAAATGGATTTGTATAAACAAAATATACACTATTGTCACTTCCATTTTGAATTCTAAATTTTGTAACACTGCATACATGTACTTGCATTTATCACACCGATCTACATAGCCCATTAAACAGTGAAATCAGGAATGAAACTGCACCATTCGGTCAACTGAATGTTCAATAAAAGGCCTAGAATGGTGCTTAATTAAATGGCAGAAAATTGTCATTCAGTCATCTTTCAATAAATTTTCAGTTATCTTTCACTAAACTGATTGACAAAGTTTTATCCTGTAAATTTATGTGGAATTTGTCTTGAACAAAAATTCATGTCCACAAAACTTACATAAAATACTACTTCCTCATAATTGTACTGGTAGGAAATTATCACTTACACTTATCTGTTGGTATACAAAACATGATATATCATTATTCGAGTAAAGAAGTTGCAAGGAGAATCATTGCACCTTTTTCCAGATCTAGAAATAAAACTTGAAATTAAAATCAAGTACTAGCATCAACTAAACTACAATTTTTCAGATTATGAACATGACACAGAAAAAGTTGAAGGGATGCTACTCCTTTCTGATAATGAAGTTGAAGATAATTGTGTTTTACAAAATATATGTTGTAAGTTGTCAAAATTGTATGCATGTAAAAATTTGCCACATTTACTTCTCATCGAGAAAATTTGTCAGATAGTCATCAGCAAAATTAAGAATTTGTCTCAAAGCAAGAAGCGCAAGAATATTGATGTCTTCTCTAAGTTCCATTTCACACTCATAATTCTTAATTGGGACTATATGCGCTCGCGGAAGCCCCACCATGGATGCTACCTTCTCAACCAGTTCACCAATGGCAGGGACACAAAACGTTCTGGACACATCTTTTTGTAGCGCCTCACAAACCTTGTCAATTTTTGTAAGGAGAACTACAGTGCAGGGAACTAATTTTGTTACATAAACCAGCATCAGCATAAGCATTAGTAGCATCAGGATCAAGCTAGCATCAGCATCAGCATTTAAAAAACAGCATTACCAGGATCAGCATCAGCAAGCAAAGGATAAAACCAGCATTGACCTACAAAAAATCAGCATTATCCTACTAGCATCAGAAAATCAATGACTTTTAATTCAGTAAAAAATTAAAAAAGAAAGAAAGAATATTGGTTAAAGTATTCACATTATTGATACATACTGAGATATTATGATCAAATAATTGTAAAAGGCACTTTTATTGCTTTAAACGGCAATGCTGAAATTCATTATCTACTTCCGGTAGCATGATGCTACTTCCGGTAGCATTGACCTAATTATAAAACAGCATCAGGATAAGGATTACTAGCATTAAATCAGCAAGCAAAGGAAGCATTCAAATCAGCAAGCAAAGGAAGCATTCAAATCAGCATCGATGCTGTAACAAAATTAGTTTCCTGCACTGTACTTGTGGAATTCCTATGAGAAAATTAAATCAACATTTCATAATGGTTAGAGTTTCATTTCTATTAGACTTTTTTTTATTGTATTACAGCCAAAGAATATTCAGACATTTGCTAGAGGATTAGGTGATATTGAAAACAAACCTCTTTGGTTTATTTTGACTTGCAAGGTTTTTATTTTCTGAATAATCTCATCAGGTAGTACGTCTACACTTGTTGCGTCCATAACAATCACAACAATGTGAATCTTGTCTTTAGTAGAAGGCAACTTAATAAAACCAGGAGTGTCAGGGCTTAACTGTGTCGACGAATTAAACTGAAAAAAAAATCCCTTTACAAATCTGATATACGCAATATGGTATATTATTTTCAGATATAAAAAGTTTCATAATATTTTTTGATACCGTATACTTGTCAGGCATGTTTCCGTCCAGAATATAGCAGAGTTCCTGTGGATCAATTCCATTATCTTTCTCAAGTCCTCTTGTGTCACAGAGTCTGAAGTTCAAGGGTTTTCCGGATCTACCTTTTCGGACCTGGTACATTCTGAACTATATAAGAAAAAATAATGGCCTCCATTTTATTTGTTCAGATTTTACAATGCATACATAAAATACAACAAAAGGCCCCTGGGCCACAACGCTCACTTGAGTCACTTTGGTCCTGCTATTTTGCATCAGATTATTTCTTTCCCAATAAATGTGTATTCTTATGTACAATTTTGATCGCTTTTTGTGGCCCCACCCTATAAACAAGGGCCAAGATTTGAACAAAAATGAGTCTACACTACCAGAGGATGATTCCGCTTTAGTATGAATAATCATGACGTTGCTGTTCTTGATGAGTTTTGAAGATTTTCCTTATATATCCCTTTATATCCTTATAATAATAATAATAATAATAATAATAATAATAATAATAATAATACTTTATTTAAAGAGGGTAACCCGATTAGTGCAATGCACTAGTCTTCCTCGGGGCCCTCTAAACATATCAATAATAATACAATTACATGTATGAAAACATTGTACACTAATTAAATAATACAACATGATGTAAAAATACAAGTACAATTAAAAGTTTAGGACATGGAATTACGTTACTTAAACAGTGTTGCGGCAAGTTATAATAAATTTTTCCACATTTTTACGAAATGTGTGTACAGTTGGTGAAAAACGTATATACAAAGGTAATTTGTTCCATAAATGAACACCGGAATAATGAAAAGAATTTTTATATTGATTTGTTCGATATTTCGGTAGACGAAGGTCATAGTTGGTTTCAGATCGTAAAACATAATTATTAGAAGAAATAAATTCAAAAGAGTCTCTTAAATAATCAGGTGCCATACCATGAAGTGTTTTGTACAGTAATACATATTTATGAAAATCAATCAACTCATATATGGTCAGCCATCCATGTTTTTCAAATAATGGTAGTGAGGGGGCATCATAAGCCACATCTAATATAATCCGGGCTCCCCTTTTTTGCTATTTAAAAACTCTATCTTTGCCAGCACCTGGCGCATTACCCCAAATAGTTAGACAATAATTTGAAGAAGGCAGAATGTAGGCATTATAGAATAGTTTTCTTGTGTGTAATGGGAGAAATTTTTTAATTCTGCGTAAGGTATATAATTTATACGACAAAGATTTACAAACTGAGTCAATATGGTAATTATAGCGCAATGAATGATCAATATATACTCCCAAAAGTTTTTCAGATTCAACATTTTCAATTAATTTGTTTGAAGCATATAAATTTAATTCAGGAGAATTTATCTTTGATTTTCTATGTTGAGTTCCCATAAGCATACATTTTGTCTTATTGGTATTCAACACCATTTGATTTTTGGAACACCAATTTTCAATCTCACACAAATCAAAGTTAAGGGCATTCTCAATACCTTCTGCATTTTTATGATGTGTATGTAAGGTTGCATCATCAGCAAATATATCAATATCTGTTCTATTTACATGTAAAGGGAGATCATTTATATACAATAAAAACGATAAGGGACCTAAGATAGATTCCTGGGGCACTCCTGCTGTGATAGGCAAGAAATCAGAGGAATATGTACCTATTTTTACACACTGAGACCTTGAGGTTAGATAAGAATGAAACCATTTAATAGCCATTTGGTCAAAGTGATATGATTGAAGTTTACTTATAAGGATATCATGATTTACCAAATCAAATGCCTTGCTAAAATCAAGGAAAGTTATGCCTACTAGATTTCCTTGGTCCACAGCTTGTAACCAATTATCTCACTACTGGACGAAAAAAGTGCTGAGAATCCCAAAATTTACTGATAATGTTTGATAATTACTGATACTGTGCTGTTCTTGCTGATAAATACTGATATTTACTGTTATTCTTACTGTTGTTACTGATAATTTTAGTTGTTTCTGATAAATACTGATAATTACTGTCGTCTTTACTGTTGAGTCTGATAAATACTGATAAATACTGTTGATGTGCTGTCGATGCTGAGATTTACTGATAATTACTGTGGTCATTGTTCTTGAGCGAGAAGGTGCTAAAATAGAGCTTTGGGTTGCTAAAACCTTCTTCAATCATTACTTTCTTTTTTATTTAATTTTCCCAACAACATTTTCATGTTTCTTTATACTGCTTGTGACAAAAATATGATACTGGTCTCAATTATAAAACGGTTGTGAAAATCTTGACAATTATAATTAAAGTTAACCATTAAATAAAATTGTCAGCGTAAAGGCGAATGTTTTCCAAGAATCTATGAAAATAGTACATGTATGTCTGTAAGCAGAATAAATGGAATTTTCCTTTTGCATGAAGATTTCATTTTAACATAAGTCACTGTTATACTAAAACATTAAGGCTTTTAAAAAAAATAATAATAATAATAATAATAATAATAATAACTAGATGGTTCTCGTTGCGAGCAACGAGTGGGTCTTCCGTCTGATTTTGGATAAGATTAGTCAAGATCTTGACTGAGATATTCATCTGTAAAAAGTGAAAGGATGCATATTGTTTAAAACATTATTCTGAGCTTCTTTTGTTCATTATTGCTTATCAAAATATTTCTCCTTGATCGAGGTGTCAAAAATTTAGCATTCTGGCCCCTTATTACGTAACATATGATCAAAATTTTATAATATATAGTTGCAAAATGTTAAGATGAACATTTTTGCTTCAATAACTTATAACAAAATATTCATCATTAAAGAGTTATAGATGAAAGACTTTTGGCCCTTCTGAGCCCCTAATTTGAGGGGTCAGCCCCTTTTTCTTGATATCAAATGAAAGGTCTTGTGAATTTAAAGACTTTTTGTTCAACAACTATTCAGAAATTTCCTTTCGTTTAAGAGATATATAGAATAAGAATATTTAGGGGCCAGCCCTCCAAGTCCTTAATGGGGATGTCTTGTAAAAATTATAGGGGTGTATATTGTTTAGAGCATTATTTTGAACATCTTTTGTTCAATATTGCTTATCAAAACATTTTCACTTTTCGAGATTTAATGTGTCAAAGATTTAGCATTCTGGCCCCTTATGGCCCCTTATTACGTAACATATGATCAAAATTTTATAATATATAGTTGCAAAATGTTAAGATGAACATTTTTGCTTCAATAACTTATAACAAAATATTCATCATTAAAGAGTTATAGATGAAAGACTTTTGGCCCTTCTGAGCCCCTAATTTGAGGGGTCAGCCCCTTTTTCTTGATATCAAATGAAAGGTCTTGTGATTTTGAAGACTTTTTGTTCAATATGTTTTAACAAAATACATCAATTTAAAATGTTATTTAAAAAAATGTCTCTAAAATTCACGTATAAATCACGTCCTAAATTTTGACCCCTACCGAGCTTCCATACTTCGCACTTCCGGAAAATTTCAAAACCAAGGTGCACAACTAGAACATGTCCTCTATCACCACTGAAAGTTGCAACACTCTAGCATTTGTCGTTCTTGAGTTTTTGTGCAGACACAAGGTCTATCAAAAAATCGATTAAAGGGCGATAACTTCTGACCGGAAGTGATTTTTCAAAAACTGAAATGCCGTTATAAACTTCAGATAGCAACGCATTAACCCTGAAAATTTGAAGCAAATCGATCAAGCGATCTCCGAGAAATCTTCTGCACAAAATCGGTAAGGAAAAAAAAAAAGAATAATAACTAGATGGTTCTCGTTGCGAGCAACGAGTGGGTCTTCCGTCTGATTTTGGATTAGTCAAGATCTTGACTGAGATATTCATCTATAAAAAGTGAAAGGATGCATATTGTTTATAACATTATTCTGAGCATCTTTTGTTCAATATTGCTGATCAAAATATTTCCCCTTGTTCGGGGTGTCAAAGATTTGGCATTCTGGCCCTTTATGGCCCATTACTTTGAAAATTTTATAATATATAGTTAAAGAATGTTAAGATGAGCGTTTTTGCTTCAGTAATTTATAACAAAATATTGATCATTAAAAAGTTATAAATGAAAGAAATTGGGCCCTTCTGAGCCCCTTATTTGAGGGGTCAGCCCCTTTTTCTTGATATCAAATGAAAGGTCTTGTGATTTTGAAGTTTTCTTGTTCAAGAACTATTCAGAAATTTCCTTTCGTGTAAGAGATATATAGAATAACAATATTTAGGGGCCAGCCCTCCAAGTCCTTAATGGGGATATATTACAAAAATTAAAAGGGTGTATATTGTTTAGAACATTATTCTGAACATCTTTTGTTCAATATTGCTAATCAAAATATTTTCCCTTCTCGAGATACAAAGTGTCAAAGATTTAGCACTCTGGCCCCTTATGGCCCCTTATTACGTAACATATGATCAAAATTTTATAATATATTGGTGCAGAATGTTACGATGAACATTTTTGCTTCAGTAATTTATAGCAAAATATTGATCATTAAAAAGTTATAGATAAAAGACTTTTGGCCCTTCTGAACCCCTAGTTTGAGGGGTCAGCCCCTTTTTCTTGATATCAAATGAAAGGTCTTGTGATTTTGAAGACTTTTTGTTCAACAACTATTCAGAAATGTCCTTTCGTTCAAGAGATATATAGAATACCAATATTTAGGGGCCAGCCCTCCAAGTCCTTAATGGGGATATATTACAAAAATTAAAAGGGTGTATATTGTTTAGAACATTATTCTGAACATCTTTTGTTCAATATTGCTTATCAAAATATTTTCCCTTCTCGAGATACAAAGTGTCAAAGATTTAGCACTCTGGCCCCTTATGGCCCCTTATTACGTAACATATGATCAAAATTTTATAATATATTGGTGCAGAATGTTACGATGAACATTTTTGCTTCAGTAATTTATAGCAAAATATTGATCATTAAAAAGTTATAGATAAAAGACTTTTGGCCCTTCTGAACCCCTAGTTTGAGGGGTCAGCCCCTTTTTCTTGATATCAAATGAAAGGTCTTGTGATTTTGAAGACTTTTTGTTCAACAACTATTCAGAAATGTCCTTTCGTTCAAGAGATATATAGAATACCAATATTTAGGGGCCAGCCCTCCAAGTCCTTAATGGGGATATATTACAAAAATTAA